CCGCAGACGTTTCCTGGCTTATGGATTTTCTTGCTTTGCGGGATGCGAACAATCATCGCTGGAGATAAACAAAAGGAAAAAGAAGATAAGCACGCGCCTGAAGATGCAGGTTTTGCTTTCTGTCTCTGTTCCAAGAGGGTAAGAGATGCCCGGCCGGTGCGGCTCCGTGGTTGGGCGTCGACCCCTGCACCGAGAGGTCGCCGGTTCGATTCCTGGTCAGGGCACATGCCCAGGTTGGGGGCCCGATCCCCAATGGGGGGCAACAGAAACCAACTCATTCATTGGAAGTGTATTGAGGGACTCATGGAACCAACCCAGGAGGCCACAGTGCCCATCTTTGAACCCAAACAGGGTTGAGGGGGACCAGGACATCCTGCTACACCAACAAAATGCCAACACACCATCACCCTTGGGCAGCACCTCTGTCCCAATACTGAGAACCAAATGCCCTGCTTAGGTCACTGGCACTGAGTGCTGGTCATTCATGCTAGAACCACCTCTGTCTCCACTGTCAGGTGCACCCAACTGTCAGGCCATGGTCACCTCTAGCTGCAAGAGAGGCTGGTGATGCAACCGCCACCCTGCAGGGCAGGCTCCGCCTCCCACCAGAACTCCCCAGGGGAGGGGAGAGGTGAGTCCCAAACCTGGCCAAGGGATGTGGGAGCTAAGCAGCTGGCAGGGAGGAGGGAGAGAGAAAAAGAAGGCAAGAACAGGGGAAAGCTACTACAGGGAAGCTTTATTCATGTCCTCAGACATCCATGTCTTCGACGTCTTCGACTCCACACTAATTTACACCAGATTTTCCTCTCCCTTTAGAAGGACAACTGAGTGAATGAAATCCACAGCACCGAATTCTCAGGCCGACTCCATCTTCCGTGTTCTGCACGCACACCTTAGAAAAGTCCCAACCTCTAAAGGTCTAGCTTCTGCCAACAGTCAGTGAGCTGAACTGTGTAGACTTCCAAGCCCCTTCTGGCACGAATATCTTATTCACGGAACACAGGCAGCCTCGGTGATTGCTCACCCCAGTGAGTAAGACAGGGTGGCTATGTCCAGGACCCGGGTGTGTGGAACCCCGTAAGAAAGTCCCCGGGATGAGCTTCAGGGACAGCACGTTCCGACTGTTCACAGAACACGAAACGAACACTAAGTGAGGGACACATTCATTAGCCCAGAGTCATCAACAGTTCTTTGTGCCCTCAATTAAAAGGCATTATCTCCCCCTTAAAATGTATTAAAATATTTTCTGACAATATAAAAATGCGCATACATTATAAGAAAAGGGGAAAAGATGAATTAGCACAAAGAAAAACAAAATCATTCACCACCAGAGGTGATCACTTTACAAGAACCCTGACAATCTTTTTTATATGTATTCTGTGGGTACAGATGAACACACACACACACGTACAAATTTTTCCACTTAATCACACTGTTTGGAAACACGACTCTGAATAGCAATAAAGCATGAATACAGCCCGCATTTTATATATTCCTGGATCAGTGGTTCTCCACTTGATTTCCTTCAGCTAACAGAGGTCACCACGCAGAATTCCCAGTAGCCAAACAGAGAACTAGAAAAACATACCCAAGCATTTTTCCTGTTAGAAGAAAATAATATGTTTATTGTCCAAATTATTTCAAGATCAGCCACGACCAGTTACCATTCAGGCCTCTAGAGAGCTTGGTGTTTAGAATAATAAAAGCTAGCTGGACAGAATTATAAATCATCACTTAAATTGGCCAAATGCTGGTTGAACTTAAAAGGGCCAATATTTCTGGCTCTATGAGTTCTGTGATGTAAATGCTATCTTGGTCAGTGGTTTTTGAGCCCTTCTTTTTTCCAACATTGCATTGGGTCCGGCTGGTGTGGCTCAGTGGTTGAGCGCCGACCCATGCACCAAGAGGTCATCGGTTCAATTCCCGGTCAGGGCACATGCCCAGATTGTGGGCCAGATCCCTGTGAGGGGTATGTAGGAGGCGGCCAATCGATGTTCTCTCTAATCAATGTTTCTCTCTCTCTCTCTCTCTCCCCCTCTCTCTCTATAAACCATAAAGAAAAAAAAATCTTTTAAATGATAATAATGATGATAATAATAATAATGATAATAATAAATGCTGCATTGGGAAGTCTCAACTCTGCAGCCTTGCCTAGCCCTGGTCTCTGCCAGAACCTGTAACTCGGAAATAATTAAGCATCTCCAGGTGAGTTCGCTCTGTAGGCTTCTGCCTTCACAGCAGAACAAAATGGACATTTGAGGGCTCAGAGGACTTGAACTTGGCCTTCTCACAGGAGGCTCGCTGCCCACACCAATCCTGCCCACTGGGTTCCTCACAGTGGTCTCCTGGCCACGAGTTCCAGCCAGATGAACCCCTCTGCCCACGAAAGCAGCCAATCTTCTTGACCTGGCCAGTCCTGGTCCGTGGTCACCCACACTTCAACCATGCCCAGAAGCCTACCCAGAGAAGCGCAGGTTCAGGCAGGGGGGAGCCCGGAGGAGCCCGAGAGAGGCGTGTGGGTGCAGGTCTCCGCCTCGCCTTCCCCTCTTCCTCACAGGAAGCCCCTCCTCCCCAGGGCTGAAGGCTCCTGGACACTGATCAGCACCAAGAGAGTCACAAGATGAACAGGGGCTGTTTGGGGTGGGACCCGTGGTTGACGAGCTCACGGAGAAGGGAGAAATTCCCGTGCATAGTGGAAGTGGCGGGGGGGATGTAGGGCCTGCTCAGAGAACATGCGGGGCACAAGCACCAGTATCCCTGTGTCCCCCGAGCAGGAGAACCCGCGGGTGGGCAGAGCCTGCAGAGCTAGAGCTGAAGCCTGAGGGACATTCGTGGGTGGCTGGGCTCACTTCCGACCGGCACGGGCTTACAGGTAAGGACCCAGTAGCATCTCGCTGAGATGCTAATAACTTACACAATGTGTCAATACAGCTAAATGTTTGTCTCTGAGAGTTTTGTTTTCTTTTTTCTCTTTATTGATTTTAGTGAGAGAGACACATTGACTGGTCGCCTCCGGCAGGACCCCAACAGGGGTCGGGGATCAAACCACAACTGAGGTACGTGCCCTCGGCCGGAATCAAACCAGCCACCCTGTGATCCGCGGGCCGACTCTAACCGCTGAGCCAAGCAGGCCAGGGCATAAAGTGACTGCTTTTTGAGATTCCACAATCATGCCGACATTTGTGACTTTCAGAAAGAGTTGCCTGTTGCTGAAGGTAAGAGAGACTTTCTGTCCACAGGAGAGCCCGGTGCCCTTTAAGATGATCTACTTTGCTTTGGAAGACAAAGTAACTTTCTGTTTCCCTTTCCTTGAGGTTCACAGCACATGTACTCATCTAATGTCGTTTACTAGGGTAAGATTAGTACCAGCTGTGCCCTGGCCTGGAAGCTCGGCTCATTGGGGCGTCATCCCGTATACCATAAAGGTTGCAGGTCTGATTCCCGGGCAAGGCCCGTATGCGAGGTTGTGGGTTCGATCCCCAGCACATACGGAAGGCAGACGAGCTATGTTTCTCTCACACCTATGTTTCTGTCTCCTCTCTCTCCCTTCCTCTCTCTCTAAAAAAACAAAACAAAACAAAACAAAACACATATCCTCGAGTGAGGATTTAAAAAATACATCAGTTTGCATTTCCTACAAAATGTTACAACCAGGGAGATGGGGATAAAGTAGGTTATCATCCCTGAAGTGTGCCAATTGTCCAGAGAAAACTATAATAGACAGTCTACGTACACAATATACATACATACATAAATACATAAATGATCTGTACTACACACACACACACACACACACACACACATACATATATCTGATGCTGTTTCATTAAGCCATTATATTTCCATTTTCAGGTTTACTATTTTAAAAAATAGAGAAATAATTTTTAGAAAGTCACCTTGGCAACAGAAAATTAATGGCTTGATGAGACAGCACCAGACAGCTAACTGCCGGGCAGCCGGAGCTCCACTCTACTCCCTAGCCTGCCCGTACACACAGGTAAGGAGGGAAAGGGACAGAAGAAGACGGGTTTCTGGAGACGAATCAAGCTGTCAGAATGCAGCCCCCAGCATGGGTAACACATCTCCTTCTCCACCGTCTGGCTGAGGCGCAGGGCCACCACATCGTCACAGCGTGGCTGTCTCTGTGCCACAGCTCGAGCGGGACACACTGCGGAGATGCCCGAGAGCTCCGCGTGGAGCCCACGGCGGGAGGCTGGAGCCTGGAGCCCTCCGCTCTCCGCGTGGGAAGCGTTGGGTCGGAAGGGAGACCGACAGCCAAAGGTATCTGCGCTGACCTGAGTCGGCTTGGGGGCTACGGCGACAGAGAGAAGAACTGGTTCTGAGAAAGCAGGAATAAAGGAGATGGGAAATTAATGGAGTGGGACTTATCGGTGAAATCAGCGTGGGGACAAAAGAGGCCCTGCCTGGTGCAATGATAAGATTTAATGGGGCAGAGCGGAACCGTCTGCCGGGCAGGGAACAGACTTCCTCACACTGTTCCTATTAAGACAGCGACCACCAGGGACACATGAAGAGTGGCATGGCTCCTCGGGGGGGGGGGACAAATGTCCTCTGGCATGGGCTCAGGGAAGGGGCGGAGGCGGCTGCTGAGAGCTGTCTTGCAGCCCGAGCGACAAGCACACTTGCCTTACTGCAAACGAGGGCTTCGGAAGGCGTGACTCTCCGGGGGATGGTCAGACTGTTACTGACCGTTAACGTGGAAACGGCCACAGGGCCGGCGGACGGGCGGCACAGTCCTCGCCCACACTGGAGCGCTTACCACACAGACAGGCGGGACGTGAGGCCAGCTGAGCGCGCTAGGAGCGGTCTGGGAGCGGCAGAGGGCAGAGGACCTAACTAACTGAGCCCAGGCCAAGTGTAGAATTTCACAGCGGTTCTCAAACTTGAGCACGCAAGAATGACTGAATGAATGAATGAACGAACGAACGAACGACAACACAAACCCCCACTTGGGGAGCTCGAGCCAAATGCAGATCCTTGGGCTCATTTCGGCAGCACATTTACTGAAATTGGAAAGATACAGGGAAGATCAGCATGGCCCCCACGCAAGGATGACCCCCAAACTGATGAAACGTTCCACATTTTGAAACAGCACGTCACAAATCAATGGGCATAAGATTTCAGTTCAGCAAGATGAGTAAGACCCGGAGATCGGCTGTATGACAGTGAGTGTACCAATAGTCAGCAATGACGTACTGTAGACTTAAATGGTTGTTAAGAGGGCAGACCTCCTGTGAATTATTCTTACTGTCATAAAGTTAAAGAAACATCACCTAAATAACTTGTACAACAATCACATTAAAAAAAAACATTTTTTTAAAAAGTGTAGGTTCTTGGGACTCCCGGCTGACCTGGGCAGGCTCAGGGGTCTGTACATGCGGCAGGCGCTCCAGGTAACATAATGAAGAGGAAGGAGGGCCCGGAAGAACACAATGAAAACCCATCAGGCATGGACTCCGGAGGCTGAATTCCAGTCCAGACCTCTTGCCGACTGTTCATGTGGGGTACGATCTTCATGGGGGGTCTCACTAGCATTTTGCACCAAATGGAACGCATTCCTCTTCCTACAACCTCTCTTAGGACAGATTCCATCATCTCCTCCAGGCACCAAACCAGGAACATGGGAACCAGTGTCAGTGTAGGAAGCCCATGGAAAGTGTTCTGGGGGGACCCAAGGACTAGAGGGAAAGCCATGGAGATGCTGGTGAGTGACAGCCAAGGGGAGGCAGCAAAGAGGTGCTCTGCCCATGGGATAGCCTGAGACACCTTCGCTCCTATGACTCCTGAATCCAGGCCAAAGCACGTGGGCAGAAACAGAATGTCCAGCCCAGAAGAGCCCACATTTCTTACAGCTGCCAGAGTGTAGCATTTCCCCACCAGGAAGTGGCAGGCTGTCACCTCCCCCACCCAAATCTGGCCCGCATTCTGTCATCGCAGCACAAGCCTGCAGAGAAGTCAGGTCTGGGCTCCGTGGGGCTTCAGGGCCGCCTGTGCCAGAGGCTGGGAGTGGGGTGGGCTTCAAAGAGCAATGTGCCTGCTGCCATGGCAACCCACGATCAACCAGGAATGGGGAAGAAGGTGCTCCGCTTAATTAAAACCCAGGCAACGTTTTGACACAAACCCCTCGAAATTAAAGCTCAGATTTTCTCCTGTCTTCTTCCCCTATCCCTTTCTTTTTATGTCACCAAGTGCCTTTTAATCATCCCTTCCCCCGCCCAAACAAAATCACCTCCAAAGATGAGGCTTTTGATAAGCCACTGAGCCAAAAACCCCTCCCCCACACCACACCCAAGCACAAAGCAATTAAGATCTCCGGGTCTCTCTGTCTGTAGACTATTCGACTCAGAGGGAAACCGTTTGCCCAAAAAAGCTGTAGGAATGCATTGGCTTCACCATCACCGCCTCCCTGAGGACACCCAGAACAAATATTCTCACACCGTAATATCACTGAGCATCACCTGCAATTTTAAAAGACAGATTCCCTGGCCCCATCCCCGGAGAGCTGCCTCGGGTAAATCAGAGGTGGAGCCCAGGCATCCACATATATTTTTTCCTAACACCCCAACAAATTCTGAGATGGGAAAGTTTTAAGTCATACTCACTTAAGGGTATAGGTGCAAACTATTATGGATCAAAAGGAACTATCTTTAGTATCTATGAAGAAACCTATGGTAAGTATCGTATTCATGGTGAGACACAGAAACGTCCTCTCCGGCATTCACGTCACAGGCAGAATTCTACAGACACACCCACGGCTCTCCCCTCCCCCTTGTGATCTGGCGTAAGCCCCGGGACTATGAAGACACCGGACTTCACTCCTGTGATTAGGCACAAATGACCTCAAGACAGAGATCAGCCAGGTGGACCTGGCCTAATCATGAGCTCTCTAAAAGAGTTTTCTCCACCGGATCCCCCCGAAGAGGAAGTCAGGGATTTCTCTGGGGATAGGCTCAGGAATGCGCATTCGAAGTGGGCACCCCAGTAAACGAGCCCTGGTGCTTCCTTCCCTGAGCAGAAGTCAGGGAACTGACAAGAAAGCACCAGAGAGCACTTGCTGGCTGAGGAGGCCCTGGCGTCGGTCAGGATGTCCATTTGGGAGCACCTGGGGTTAAAAGCCAGATTCTTAGAGGGGAGGAGAAAAACCTTTTCTCAGAAATGCCTAGGTTCTTCAGCTGAAGCCCTGGAAATGAAACTTAAAAAAAATAACCAACAGATGAACAAAGGAAAATAGAGTTGATGGACACGTGCAACACACATACTCATGGGAGAAACTCAGTGATGGGTAACTCAAAGGGGTGGTTAGAACTCAGGGCTTGTGTAGCATCTTAACAAAGAACCACAAATTTGTACAGAAGTGACAAGGCCAAGGAAAGGGGTTTAGGTTTTCAGGGACAACAAAGTGTGGGAAGGTAAATAAATATATGGGGGAACTAAAGGAAGAGAGAGTTTTTTTAATAAGTTCTGTTACATAGACTTCTCTTGGTTCCTTCTCTGGGCTACTAAGAGTCTCTGGTGACAAGAAGTCCTCTGTTCTTCCTGGTACGGGGGGGGGGGGGGTGTACCATTTCCATGGGGAATTTTATGTCCGAATTTTAAGCAGTAAAGAGGAGGTCAGAGAGCCCTTCCTGCACCTGCCATTTCTAAGTGTCTTCAGCTCCAAATCACCCATGTGCTGAAGTGGCCTATTTTGGGGTGGCATGCGCGGATCCCCCGCATTCTCAAATATCAGTGTCCATGTTAAATGTGGAACCCTGGGCTCCTTCCCCAGAGAATCTGTGCATCAGTGGCAGGTTCATTTCTTTAAAATAGCATTTTTTGAAAATTGATTTTCTTAATACAGAAAGAGCATAGAGGAACTGGTAGGTAATCCCACTGCCCAGATAACCTCTGCTGACAATGAAAAGCATAAAAGTAACACAGATGCGTGGTTGGAAATGCAGACAGAAGATAAAGGGTTGAAATGAAAACTAGGAGTCCCCTCCCTAGCCCCTCGTCTCTCTTCCCAAGGTAACCTACTGGTCATAGATTTGCATGGATTCTTCCTGAAAAAACATTACATTAATACCCGGACATATGTCCTTTTCAACGGGTTGTTGTTGTTTTTACTTTTTACCCCAAAGGAATAATATTGTTTCCAGTTTTGTAATTTGCCAGGTTATTTTTTTGCTTAATAGAACCTGCACATTTTTCTACATTGGCATTTTAGAAACCTACCTCGTTTATTTAAATAGGTTTAAAGTAAGGAAGGAATCACATTTTCAATCAGTGTTTAAGGTGATTCTAAATGCTGGGAGGTCCGCAGACCACACTGAGTAATCGGACCTGGCAGACAGGTGCACACGTGGGGGACGCTCCCTGGATGTGCCGTCAGTCTCGGCAGAGGCTCTGGAACTGTCTTCCACATCTCTCTACACAGCAGAGCCCTGGGACTCCTCTGAACATCTGCACTTAGGCACATTTCTACCTAGACTCTGTGTGTGCACCTGCAAGGGTCTTGGGATAATTGCCAGGGGGGTCAGGCAGCCCCAGGCAGGAAATGATTCCTGCAATCCACCTCCTCTGAAAACGCTGTGCCCAGAGGCAATTCGTCCTTGCAGGGCATCAGGGCGACTGCTCGTTCGTTTTCAGTCTTGGTTGGATGCCAAACTAGGAGAACAGCCAAGAGGCTGGTCCCAAGCAGCCCCAGATGCTCTCCAAATGCAGAGGGTCCCCGCTTCCCCTCCTCCGCTGGCCACCCCCATGCAGATTTTTGGCTTGCCTGTTAAGTGGCTCCAAAGACGATGTCGCTGTGGATCAGCCTGAAGCATCATTTTACATTCTCACTTATCTTCTGATTAACAAAGGTTTGCCTGCCAATAAGCCTATGATACACGTCACCTGAGCATCTCCAAAAATCTCTGGCAAGCCCCCTTCCCTGGCTGCAGCAATGATGCCTGTCACTCGGAGGGCTGCGGGTGGACAGGGAGAGAGCCATGCCCGGATGGTGTTTGTGCTCCTGTCCAAATCCGGGGGTGGGGGTTATCAGGCAGGTGATCTCACCTAGCTGACAGAGTCCTGCAGGAGAAGGGGGCTGGAAGCCAAGACCCACAACCCCTGATTTATAGATCTTCTGGGGTGTGCCCCAGCTAACTGCTTACAGCCCACCCAGCTCCTCTGGGGGTGCCTCCCGCCCTGTGGGAGCCTGGGATACAGGAGAGCTCTACTATGCTCCCCACAGGTGGCCAGCTGGGCCCGGCAGGTACCACTCACCCACTCTGCCAGATTCTCAGACTCAACCTGTCTCTTGACCTGAGGATGCAGCGACGTGGGAGCTGAGGTGGCCCTTCACTGGCCCGGGACAGCAGAGAAAGCAGTCCGCAGGGTGAGAAAGCACACGGGCGCAGAGGAGGCAGAGAGAACGCGCAGACACGTGCCGTCGGCATCACTCTCCTAATTCCAGGGCCCCTGCGGCCCCGCTGACCTCAGCGCCCTTGGAGTCTGCGTCCCTAAGTGCCCCATCCTCTTCCTCCAGCCGGTCTGAGGTGGGTCTCCCTCCCTTTCATCCACAAGTTCCTTCCTCCATCAAGACAAACCCCAGAGACGACGAAGTCTGGGCAGCGGACACTGGGGCAAGAAAATGAGGGGCTGGAAAAGTTGGCCTGCGGAAGGCAGCCTTGGGCCAGGGGAGTGTGGGTGACGTTTTGCTCCAAAGCAAAGAGAGAAGCCCAGAGTCCCCTCTGCATTCCCTGGTGGACGCAGGGCCACCTGTCCGTGCTCCCTGCCCCCCGGGACCCAAGCTGTCCCTTCTCCCAGATCACGGGAGAGCTGCACCCCGACAATGCCGGCTGCTCGGAGGACAAGAGCTGGGCATCTTTCAAGGCTGCCACAGGGATGCTGAGCAAGTCCAGGCGCCAGGACAAGGGGGAACCCTGTCCCTGGTAATTCAAGGCCCCACCCCCGCTTTTCAGGTAAAGGGGCCGATACAGGAGCCATACACTCCCAGTCCGGAGAGAAAATTCCGGTATCTGTCTCCGGTTTTCACCTTCAAAACCTTGCTCCCAAAGAGACCACCTGGGACCATCTGAGAGGAAAGAGAGTCAAGTAGCA